TTCTTAATAGCATCCCTGCTGCCAGATGGTAAAAAAACTCCGGAGAGATAGGTCTTACGTTATTATGAAGCCACAAATTACTTTTTAAGACTTAAGGAGAGTGAAAGCAAGCAAAACACAAATATTAACAACATTTGATACAGGTTTCACCACTTGCTTTCAGCTTTATTTAGCTTTGGACTTGCATGCTCCGTAAATTAAAACTGTTGCTCCTCACCAAATTATGATCAGTGGTCTAATTTTGATCTATCAGATTTAGTGATGGTGCAGTGATGGTGGATAACTCATGCCCAAACCCACCTGAACCATTCGCAGAGGAAACTAAACCTACAACAAAGCGAGCAGGTTTGCTCTACGATGGCACATCTCCTGGGACAGCCCACCTTGCCCGCACTCCTCTCTCCTATAGTTGCTGCATCCTCCCTTCCCTTGGGATGGGGCTTCGTGGCTATCTACTGCGAGATAAATATTTTTGTGAAACTAATTTCCCAGCATCAGGCGGCAGTGTTAACCAGAGGTTGGAGCTGTCCCCAGACACCTCCACCCGTGGTCTCCTTCGCACCAGTGTGAACCCAGAGTAGCTTCTTCAGGAGATGGTGGGGATGAGGCCAGACCCTGCTCCTGCTCCGTCCCCAGCCTGTGGCAGAAATAACTCTGGTTGTCATCAGAGCGGTCACTGTAACATGGATGAGGTTCAAGTCAGGCCCAGTAGCTTCAATGAGATTTTTGTGCGATTATAACAAGAATTTGACACACATGGTGAGCTACTAGTCATGTATATGTGATCTGTCTCCACGCTGTCCCAGGAGGTATTCACCAGCATAAAAATCAGTTAATGAGGGGACGTGTCCCGAGCAGCAGCCTGCTGCTGCACGAGGGATGACCTGGGAAGCGCGGGGATGGATGAGCTGTGTCCTTTCCACTTGCAGGCTCCATTGGTTTTGCCACCCTCAGTACTGGGAGGGAACATTGAGTTCATTGTGTTTTTTTGCTGAATGCCACGGCAGAATTTATGCAGAGTTTTCTGTGGACGTAGCGGGAGTGCTCAAAAGCTCACCCCACCTAAAGTGCCTCAGGTCCTTTAGGGTAATGAGACATTTTCTGAGTGCACCTTTTTATTGTACCAATATTACGTTACAGGAAAAATGGAAGGGGGGAACTTAACACATAGCACCTGTCACAAGTTCTCTCCTTGAATTAGGCTCTCCTGCTTATAAAAATTTAATTGATTCCTAGCAGTTTATGTGCATGGTGCTCAGTGGGCGTTTTCTGTTCTCTTGCCAGCTACATGGTTACTTAGAAAGCGAGCCGCTCACGCTACAGCTGTTCATTGGGACTGCAGACGACCGCCTGCTGCGACCCCATGCTTTCTACCAGGTTCATCGAATCACCGGGAAGACCGTTTCTACCACCAGCCACGAAACAATACTTTCCAACACCAAAGTCCTGGAAATTCCACTTCTTCCAGAGAACAACATGAGAGCAATGTAAGACCCAGGCACCGTATCTGACTCCTAGCAGTTTCCTCTTGATTGCTCCGCTTGATTTCTTCTGTGTTGCTTTTTATTTTTTTGTACACAATTTTCCTTTTTTTTTTTTAAAGGTCTCTCTCTAATAGTAGGTTTTCACAACTTTGCCCCTGATCGGCTTAACAACAAAATGAACTTCACAAATATTTATGACAACTGATGGCTTTCATTCTAGAGTTTCAGCCAATGTGCTTATTTGCCATTTAAAATAAGTATCTCAGTTACCAAGCTGTAAATATCTCCTACCTCAGCTCCTGCATTTAGTTTCTAAATATGACACCTCTTGCTCCTATACGCACTAGCACAAGGAACAGGGCCTATTAAAATTTATCTTTGGATGTCAAAGGAAACTCTTAGAGAGCATTTCCAAGTACCCTAGTGTTCTATTGAGACGAATAAAACCACTCATTTCTTACATAATAAAAATCAGCATTTTTCATGGCATTAGTTTAGAAGCAAAGCTTCTAGAACTAAGAAGGTGAGTAAAGGTGATACAACTTACAGACTGGAGTTACTAAACTGGAATAAGTTTAGTCCTATGCAGAAAAGCAGGCACGGATGTCTAAGGATCTCTGAATTAGCAGGAGTCTGAGTGATAATTAAGTGCCCCGTAGGTCCATTACACGCGGGTAAATTTCATTACAGGACTATGAATAAAGGGTCAAATATCCCTCTGTGTATGTGACATACATGAGACCCTCCACATTATTTAATCCCGTCCTCCCTGCCCACCTCGTTCGAATGATCCTAGCCCTTATCTGAGTTGTCTCCCCCCTCCTTCAAATGATCCTAACCCTTATCTGAGGCGTCTTGCCTTGGGAGGAATTTGTGTGTGCTTGCATGCACGTACATCTCTCGGTGTGTGTATAAATGTGAATGTGTTCATATTTGTATGTGGATGCATGCACCTTTGTGCGTGTGTATGGGGAGATAGAAAGATAAGTAGGTAGATGGACAGAAAGCAAGCAAGAAATCCTGGCCCCACCAAACCAAATACCATGGGAAAATCCCAGGGAGCTTACTAAAATCACAATTTCACTCCTTCTTATTCATAGTTTTTCATGCCTTAATGAAGTGAAAAATGATACCAGACACCTGAAGTCCTTCCGCGGGTAGTGGTTATTAGAAGCTGGCTTGCAGTGTCATGTACAACATGCCCCAGAGTGCCTCACGTAAATAGAAGAGCTAGAATGTGTTTAGCTGCATTGCCAGCCAGGCTTAGGGCGATCACTCAAGACCTGAGGACCTTTGTCAGTGCATTCTGTTAAAAGTCATGACAAGCCTGCAAAATTATTGGCCCCATTTGCTGTCGTCGTAAGCTGGCATGACTCCATTGAGGTTATTGAAATTTCAACAATTGGTACCCCCGCAATATTTATTTGGTCCTTTATATAACATTTTGAATAACATTTTTGGCCATCTAGAAACATTATTTCTGTTTCGATCATATTTCTCCCTAGAATAAAGGTAGTTGCACAGTTTGGGAGCCAAGCTGAATATTTTCGTGATATGCCTGCCAGATCATAGTAGAGCTCTCTCAAGAACCACCAACAATGCTTTGGCATATGTAAGCCTTACACGTCAGTAGTCTGAAACCTCCTGTAGCACTAACAATGAATTGAAATTTGGAGCCAACGACTTTTCTCACACATACTTTGTGTATTCAGGCCTTGGTTCAGTGAAGCACTGACTCTTGTCTGCACATTTAAACTTTTGCACGTATAACTACTCCTATTGACTTCAGATTTTAATGTCCATGACTTTACAAGCCTGAATTCAAATGCTTTTTCTCCTCTGAACTTTATTGGCTCTGAACTAATTGCCATTAAGTACTTTTTGTTTGTTTTACAAGTGTTGCTATAGGAGAGACAATATTAAGAACCGCACTGTTTCTTCCGTATGTTATGGATCTTTGCGTAGAATTTTGACATGGGTACAAATATTTCATAATTCTTATGGCTTCACCTGCTAATATGCATTGTTGAGAAGCTTTAATACTTTCATTAGTTTCTTTGATCGTATCAGCAAGGGCCTTTTTGTTATTCTGAAAGACATACTTTAGAAAAAATGTAGATCAAAACCATGCTGCCATAATTCTTGTTTGC